TCTTATTACAACCTTTGCTGGTTACTTTGAGAGGAAAAATAAAAAACGGCAAGCAAGAGCTACCATTGACTCAGCGTCACATAGGTCTTTTGTTTTACAGAACACCGCTATTGAAATGCAATCTTCGACCATATACGAGAAATATTACAGAAATCGTTATTTAATGGGACAACCATTGAAATTCAAGATCACGATGATTTTATCGAAAACAGATGGTAATTATATATGCAATTTTAAGGCTCTTGGACAAGAGGTAATTTGTGGTACTATACCACTAACTGGATGAGACGACTTCATAAACGAATTTAGGGAAAATAATATTTATCTGAATGATCAAAGTGTCGGACGGACAGAATTATTTATTGGAGGTCATATTTGTGGAAAATTGATGACACACAGGTCGTATTTTATTCTCGAGTGTTAAAATGTAGAAACACCTTTTTACTCGGCTTCTGATAACAATCTGGAAGGAAAAGAAAAAAGAGTAGTAATAGGAGGTGTGGGAGGGGAGGAAAGAGAGTCAGGTCCGCGCCAGCGGCAGGGAATGGGAGGAGTCAGTGTCGTTACAAGATGTAGCAGCGGGTGAGAGACCGCAGAGTCAAATTAGCGTGAATGAGTTAATTAAGGTGGTAAGTCTTATTTGTCACATGGGTACCGCTGTTTTTCACCGGGATGCGGGGAGTGTCTGAGAGGGCTAATAAATGGGGGCTTTAGACTACTTTTCTCAGGTCTTGCGGCTATTGAAACCAAATTAGGATGGACAGTTATGGGCAAAATCTCAATGTCTGAAATTTCAAATAATTCTTTTAAAGGATTCGAAAATAACTATGGATTTAATATGAAAAAACACTTTAATTGTAGATAGTTACAAAATTTAGAAGTAGTTATTCTTACAATCAACAATAGAGCTTAATTTAAAACATAAAACTTAAAGCCCACCAGCGGCCGAGCGGTAAAGTCGCCGAGGTTCGAATCTCGTGAACGGGCTGGCTGTATGGGCGTTTTCGTGGTTTTCCCCATGTGCAGCGAGTATACGAGCCAATTTCCCTTAGAAAGTTCTCCACAAAGGCATCCCTCCCTTAAGGCAGATAGCCCTCGAGTGCTTTGCCGTAATATAATAAAACCAAACCAAACCATAAAACTTAAACAGAGTTGAGTTGTAGCTGGTCTTACTCAAACAACCTCCCACCTTGCAATTTGTAGGATACCTATAAATTGCAACAAAAGTTATAAATCAAGTGTATTGGAAATTTTAACAAATCGACCAGCTCTAGTGACAAAATCTGGGACTTTGGATGATGAATCATCAATTTGTAGGATACCTATAAATTGCAACAAAAGTTATAAATCAAGTGTATTGGAAATTTTAACAAATCGACCAGCTCTAGTGACAAAATCTGGGACTTTGGATGATGAATCATCATGTTCACTGGATTCTGAATCGCAATGAATGGTAACTTTTCCGAACTGTTGATTTCTAACGCATAAAGTCTCTGGAATGATCTCAACTCCTCTCCATCAACTGTTCTCACTCTGGCAGCTCTTGAGTGCCCATCTGCTCCAGAAAAGACTACATTGACGATTCCTAAAGTCCAGTTGATACGCTTGCCTTCAGGGTTTAGGAGAAAGACCTCTCCAACTCTTAAAGATTCTTCCCGACTCTTACCTTTATGAGAATCAACATTGCTATATACTCATTCCAAAATCTCATTCTTAAATCCTGCCTTAATTTTTGTACAAAACGCAATTTTATATTTAGGCTTTCCCTGTCGATTTCGTCTAAAGCAATTGTTTCACTGCTAGGAATAATTTGTAAGAAACAAGCGGGAGTTAATGGCTTCAGACCTTCTGAATTGTCTTCAATATATCTAAGTGGCAATATATGTAAGTGAGTTAATTGTAGTTTCGTAGTCACATAGAATAGTTTCCAACTCTTCATAGTCAAGACTTTTCCTGCCCAAAATTCTTCTTAGCATCTCTTTCAACATTCTAACCATACACTCCCACCAGCCTCCCCACCAGGCAGCTGTTGGTGGGTTAAAATTCCATTTGATTTTCTTGATAGTGGAAAACGACATGTTCTTCTCCCAATCTAAATTTCTTAGAGCATTGCTTAAACCAATGAAGTTTGTACCGTTGTCAGTGTAGATTATATTTATTCTACCTCTTCGAGCAAAGAATCTTCTTAAAGCCATAATAAAAACTTCTGTAATACAGTTGTCCACATAAAAAGATTCTTTGAGTAGACAAGCTGTTTGCTTCCTTTCATTCGGAGCTTTCTCTAGATTGTAAGCTATAGTTGCTTTTAGTAAAAACGGACTAGGAGAAGCACCAAATACCACTCTGCAATGTCGGAGAGAGATTATTTCTTCTCGTCTTGATAACTCCTTACACCGCAGAAATTAAAAATATTCCCTATCCTCTGGATTCAAACTGATTTGAAAAAATACATTTTGATGTCTGATGTTACGCCAATTGCGTTTTTCTGAAATTGTATTATCAATTTGGGTACGAACTCTAATAAATTTGGCCCTTTTTCTAAACAATTATTCAATCAATTTCCTTTGGAATCTCGTCGACGCATCAAAAACGGACTAATTTTTGTTGTTGTTACACCAGTTTTTATCACAGGATGATGTAGTAAATAGCGTACCTTTTTCTCGTCTTTATCTACAATTTCAATAATTCCACCCCGAACACACTCATTAAACACATCGTATTCTCTTAAATGTCTAGATCTAATGAGGTTTTGCTAGTTGACATTAACCGTTCAGTGGCTAATTCTTTATTCGTTTCTAATTCTGGACGTCCATTTTTCCATGGCAAACATACTTCATACCTTTTGTCTTCGTTTCTTTTAATAGTTTTACTGAAAAAATCTGTCGTTTCTTCATCGGTTACCTGCCTTAACTTTACTTCTGCAGGACATCTTATACCGATGACATCTAGGCTCCATAATTCCGTCAAATATAAAGTAGTAGCAGATACAATACTCTCCAAAGATTTTGAGAAGTTTCTTTGTTTACTTGAAGCGTCCATCCAGGTTTTGGTTTAATAGCTACGAAATTATTATCAATGGGCCCCATTCTCTCAGTCAATAATGTGCCAAGATAATCTGCTCCTATTAATAAACCTATTTCAGGTACATATTCTCCTGTATCACTTAAACGTATATTTTTCTTTTCAAAATTTTATAAGTATCAGGATCCTCTACGCATGGAATTGCACCACATATCTTCTTTTCGTCCAAAATTGAAATAGTGTACTTGAAATTTGAACTTTGTAATGTAATATTGTAGACATTGTAGGACTCTTGTTTAGTTTCACTGCCCCCAAAAAGTTCATGACTCATCATTTCTTGATCTACAGGTTTCAATCCTAGTTTCTGTGCAATATCTTTTCGTATGAAAGATCTCTGAGCACCAGTATCAAATAATCCGTGAACGATTCCGTACCTGTCATCATTGATGAGTTTCACCAATACAGTTAACAACAATGTTGGCGAATTTTTTGGTGACAAAAGAACCTGTGCATCCGATTCAGACTGTTTGGCTTGTTTTGATTGATTTATATTTGGACACATAATGCTATGGTGTTTTTTCTTGCACTTTAAATAAGCTTTGCAGATCTTAGAATTGTGTCCTGGTTTCAAACAGACGAAACAAGCCCACCTTTTCTTCAATGTTTCCCTTTTCGGCTCCAGTCACATCTCGGCAGCCTTAAAGCGTTCTGAGGTATTATGAAACGACTTGTTACAAAATAAACAATGCTTGCCATTTTTCTCAGGTCTTTGCTTTTCATTAGATACAATACAAGCTGCAGTGGGAATTTGTTCTTTCGTTTTAAATTTTTCAAATCGATCATTCGCAAACCCTGATCGAGCAAGTTGTAACCGCTCTTCACTTTCGACTTCCAAACGAAGAAATTCTAATAAATTTCCTAACATGTTCATCTTGTCTTTATTTTCTACACGATTATGTGTGCGTTCCTACTCCTTGATAAGAGCTTCTGGTAGAGCTGATTCTACTAAAGGATATAACATTGCTTCATATTTTTTAGACGTTACCCCTAAAGTCTCTAATGCTTGCAGCTGAGTCTCGAATTTATCATAAAGAATCCGCAAAGTAAAATTTTCGCCACTTTTCGCTTGTGTTAAAAATAGATTTAAAAGTTCACGAACATAAATTTGAATTAATAGTTCATCTTTAGCAAAACGAGGTTTCAGCTGTTCAATAGCATTATAATAGTTTTCGCTAAATGGTGGAAAACTAGCAACTAAATCTCTGGCCGATGAAACTTCTTCAGTTGCTTGTAAAAGATACTGAAATTTGTCACCTGCATCAATGCTATCATCATCAGGAATGTTTTTAAATTGTCCCCAGAATCCTAGCCAGTTTTTAATAGTACCATCAAAACGTTTCAGTTCTAACTTAGGAAGACGGAAATTTCGTTTAGTTTCATTTACTACACTGGAAATATCGCCCTTTCTTTCAGTGGTTGATAACATTAAGTCAACTTTCGTTTTCATGGCAACCCACTGATTTCGATAGCTTTCCGTCAAATCCACATCCTTAGAAAATTCATCTTCATTAAAATTTTCCATTTATAGCCACGTTACTTTAACTGTTTCATCTAATTGAAATAACCCGTCAGCTTTATCATTAAAAATATTAAATACAGATATCAAATCAATCTTACGTACTGCTTTATCTTTTAGAACAGGTTCCACTTCTTTCAAAGAGGTTGTGAAATATCGCCGTAATTGTAATCTTTTCCGTTTTAAATTATTCGTAGTCCTGCTGCACGGACGCTAGTATTTTAAAGGATTCGAAGATAACTATGGATTTAATATGAAGAAACACTGCAGACATTTACAAAATTTAGAAGCAGTTATTCTTACAAACAATGATAGAGATTAATCTAAAACATAAAACTTAAACACAGTTGAGTTGTAGAGAGCTGGTATTACTAAAAAAAATTCTACTTTTCTTGTCACTTCAATGCTCAATAAAGAGACATTGATATTTGATTTGTGGGCTTTTGACACGCTGGGAATTTTAGATCCTTTAAAAGACAAAACTAAATTGGATTTTCAAGAAGAAGCAAGTAAACATTTCTTATCTGCAGTTAAAATAAATAAAGAAGGTCGTTTTCAAGTATTCTCACCGTGGCTTCGTGATCATCCGCCCTTGCCAGAAAATTTTGATTTGGCTATTAAAAGATTAGATTCGACTGTTAAACGATTGAAAGCTGATAATCTTTATGAAGAATGTGGGGAAGGGTTTTGTGAGTGGGAACGAGAAGGAATAATAGAATCTGTAGCGAAAAATGAAATTGAGTTACGTTGTCATTACTTACCTCATCATCACGTAGTCAAAGAAAACAGTGTAACAAAGATTCGACCAGTATTTGACGCTTCAGCAAAACAGAAAGGAGCACCGAGTCTAAATGACTGCCTTGGAAAGGGTTGTTGAATCTTATTAGAACTCCATTCCTTCAGTTCTTCATCGATTCGGTATCAACAAAACAGGAGTTACATCCGACATACGAAAAGCCTTTTCGTAAATCAGTCTTAATCATAAAGACAAGGATTTTTGGAGATTCTTATGGTATCAAGCTGATGGCCAACTTAAATATTGCAGAGACTGTAGAATTGTGTTTGGCGTCTCCATTAGTCCTTTTTTACTTGGTTCTGTTTTTCAATATAATTTAGATTCCATTTTGAAAGATGCTCTCGAAGGAAAATTGAAATATTCAGCAGAAATGGTTGAAAAGTTGAAGAACAGTTTTTATGTCAATAACTGTATATGCAGCGTCAAAAATGATCAAGAATTACATTACTTCATAAAGAGGGTTACAGACATTTTAGCTGAAAGAAAATTCGAATTACGTGGGTGGGAATACACTGAAACATCAGAGAATTCCTTAAATATTACTAATGTATTAGGAATGCAATGGGAACGTAATAGCGATACATTAAGCTTCAATATTATTAATGAATTGCCCGAAAAGATAACTAAGAGGACAATTTTAGAAACTGCTCATAAAGTATTTGATCCTGTGGAATATTATCTGCTATTACCTTGCTTCCCAGGCTTATGCTTCAGAGTCTGTGAAAATCTACGTTGTCTTGAGATCAAGAAGTTGATTCTGTAACAAAGTCAGATAAGTGGATGAATGACTTGAATTACTTGAAAGGTTTGAAAATACCTAGGTGGGGGCATTGTGAGTTTGAAATAATATTACTTCATTTCTTTTGCGATAAAAGTTATAAGGTATTTCTCCCGCCTTCTTAACGTTCCTAATGTCTTTACAAAGTAAATTGTCATATTCAAATATAACTTTCATTCGTGCTGAAACCGGAGACTCTGTGAAAGTTAATTTCATTGACAATAGCACCACCTGATCTAGATACAAGCTAAAACAAGAGTTGCTCCCACTGGTAAGAAAGAGATTTCTATTGCCCGATTAGAACTCCTGGGCCCTACTATTTATGCTCGTTCAGCGCGGCCCGTTTTAAAATAGTTTAAAGTACAAACTCTTGTTTTTGGACTGATTCTACAACTGTACTGGCTTGGATACAAAGAGATGTAGCATGGGATGTGTTTGTTCAGACAAGAGTTATGGAAATAAGACAAAGTACTCCAAGGGATGCCTGGTGGCACATCTCAGGAACAATGAACTCTGCCGATTTACCCAGTAGAGGATGTTTTGCCCGTTATTTAGTCTCGTCCCATTAGTGGGAGGGACCGGAATGGTTGTATTCATTGCGAGAAAACTGGCCAAGCAACAATTTTATTGTAAACGAAGAAGAAGTAGCCAAAAAGAAGAAAAAAGATTTATCATCTTTGATTAACACAAATACCGTTGGTCTTATAAATACTCTTCGGTTTTCAACTTATCACCGGACTAGTAGAAGATGGATTGAATTTGTCGATTCATTCACTACTGCAAGTATGAGAAGATAAGGAAAGGTGAACTTACCGTTCCTGAGCTTAATGAAGCTGCGAAAATGCTTATTTGTTTGATACAAACTGAATCTTTTGCTGGGGTTGAAGATAAGCGTTTAGCATCACTAAATCCATTTCTAGATTAAGGAATCATTAGGACGAAAACAGCAGTATATCAAAGAGATTATAAGTCCGAGTTGAAAACTCCTCCCATTCTACCCATTGACCATCCTCTTATCAAAAGGATAGTAATGGAAGAACATCAAATTGTGTTTGGTGTTGAACACTTCGGAGTTTCTCACGTCTTAACCATATTTTACCATTGTACTATGTACAAGACAGTACATATTTCATGCGTGTACAAAAAAAGTAATAATGTTTAAACTATTTCTTTCACATTGTAATATTGCTAGAAAGCTGCTTGTTATATTAACTACTTTGTTTTAAATTTTTACTTTTACAAATCTGTTTTTAAAAAAAACAGATTTGTAAAGATTTGTAAAAGTACAAAAAGGACTAATTTTGATTTTTTGCATTTTATTTTTGAATGCATAAAAAAAAGGGTAAAATAAAAAGTGTGGATTTGTTTTAAATAAAATAGGTCTCAATCAGTGTGAATGACAAAAAATCCGAAAGAAAAATATATTATAGATCCTTATTTTGCTTTCTTTTTTAGAGCGTCCTATATATAGGACAACGGTAAAATCCACTATTATATGATGTTAAAACATAACACCACGTTGGAGTGAAATGGTTACGTCCGTTTCATCCCCTCGCTGTAAAATATAGCGATCAACTGTTTTTTATCCTGCGTCCCTTTTTGTAGAGACTTATATTTAGCATCTGAAAGACGTTTCACACATTTTATTTGTACGAAAGAAATTTACTTTTGTGAATGTTTATTTTGTAAGGTATATTTATTTTACGCATCCAAAATGAGTCGAAAATTTCTAACAGCTGAAGAAGCTTTGGAATATTTTATCACATTAGATGATGAAGGTACTGAGTCGTAAATGGTAATAATACCACCTGATCCAGATACAGTCAGTGACAATGAAGAAATAGACGATGACTGCTCTAAAGATTAGACATGGCCAAGCTAGTTGTGATGAAAACGCAGCAGGAACAACACGAACTGTGGAAATTTTAGTAGGAAATGAAGCTGATGAAATGTGTGCCGAACCTTGAATTGGAAAGATTGCATTCCTAAATATTCACATGCTTCAGAAATATTTTCTCAAGATATTAGTCAGTCTCCAACTGATTTTGTTTCTGGAAAATGTCCTACAGAACTCTTTGAGTATGTCGCTGAAAAAATGATAAACAAAGTTGTTATTGAGAGTAAGAGATACGCTGGGCAGGAAAAAAATCATCATTTTTTTATTGACAAAACATGTGAACTCAAGCAATTCTCAGGTATACTTTTTTGCCACATGAAAAAATATACTGGGAAAACGCGCCAGACACTGGAACTATACTATTTAGTAGAGCAATGCCCCGAAATAGATATTCTGAAATCAAGCGGTACATTCATTTCATTGACAATAGCACCATTGATTCAGACGGATATTACAAAGTACGTCCACTTTATGATTTACTGAATGATGCTTTACAACAATTAGGTGTATTTTCCGAACATCTAAGCACTGATGAAAGAATGGTGACCTGTTTCGGTCGACATGGTTGTAAAATGTATATGAAAGAAACCAAAACTCTCGATCTTCTAGAATATCGACAGGCTATAACAGTCAGCTATTTGGGATTATCAATACCTAGGAACATTCAAGGCGGAACATAAGGTGCGCAGCAGAGAAATCAGGACTTCTTGAAAATGCAAACTGATCCTGTGATTGTCAAAAACCCTGATGGACATTGACGTCGTTGTCATAATTGTACGAGGAAACCAACAACTATTTGTAAAAAATCTAATATTAGCTAATGTTCGAGTTGCTTTTCACCATTCCATTCAAAAGAACCGGCTTGAAAGAAAATATTGTCCTGCAACTTCACAGCACTAAATTTGACCATCGTCCGATATATATAGGACAGCCTGTAAGCTCAAAGAAAATAAAAGTTTCGTATATTTTTAAATTTATTATCTTTTCTTACCTTTTTATAAGACAAAATTAGAAATTTCAAACAAAAATTTTAATTTCTTCGATCATTGGTAAAATATGGGTTAAATTCTCTACAAGAAAGATTCTGGTTACTATCTGGACGAAGAACTGCTTCATCCATATTGAGATCTTGCATTATTTCTAAAGGATATTCCAGCAAAAGAGTCAGTCCTCCAGCCCTACTATTGCCCAGTGATCGAGTTCAAGATGTTTCTGTGTTCCGGATTACCGGCAGGACCTTTGATACTTATGAATAAAATAAAGGCAATCTGCAGTAAAAGCACCTCAACAGAGAAATATACCCGTTAGAAATGACGGAGTATCTCGTATTACAAGACATGGAAGGACTGTCAAGAAAACACAGAGATTAGACTTGTGATTACGAATGTTGCAGTATTATTCAATGTATTCAATTCATTATTTCTCATTGCAAGGTGGGAGGATGTAAGGAAAAATTATTACGAGCTGCATGAAATATGATGTCCCTCTTGAAAACGAGAAGTAGTTTTAGACACTTTCAATGATTAGTTTTTTGTGTGGCAACATTACCCGTATTCCATGAATTTGTTTCATGAAGTTGAAACAATGATCCGTATTCCATGAATTTGTTTCATGATGTTTCATTCCGTGAAGTTGTAGCTTTCGATTTTGTTTTCAGATGTAAAAATTAATAAAGTTGAATTAAAAGGAAGATTTGGAACCTTCTTTTATAGAGTTTGACATGACTTAGTTCCTTGCATACAGGAAATATTTGTAATTAGAGTCTACTATATTATTTCCTTCTTTTTTTGGAACAACTGTGTTTCGTTCACCCGTGGTACTATGATAAATGAAACCAAACAATAAACTAACAAGCTATTACCGTTAAAAAAATCTTGATAAAATCGCGTTCTTTGTAATATAAGCTGAAATTTATAAGGGTTCCGTACACCTTTTCACATTTATGAATTTCAACTCATATTCTTATGTCGAAGCAATTTTGTGTCTTGGAGAACAACAAATCTGCAAAAAATGTACTCTCACCTTATTTGCGAATTTACTGGGCCATTAGCCTCATCTATTTCCATGGGCGTAGCAAGGATCGGAGCTAGGGGGATGCAAACGATCTTAGAAAACGAAACTATGACACGACACGAATTCGTTAGTGGTAGAGTAGATAAAATTTTTGAGCACCTATTTGAAAGCGAATTAATTGGTTGGCTGCATGAGTGTTTTTTGGGTTTTTTCTTTTTCTCATGTATTATAAATTGAATACGAACGAGTTTACATCAGAAAATTCTCCTCTAAGACAACTTTCCTTCAGGATTTCACTCGCATGTTTTGCTACAGTCGAATGAACGAGCAAATAAATAACGGAACTGGAATACATGAGTTTAAAAATAGATCGTTTAAATATGAAAGATAGGA